CATATTCTACAGCTTATCCTTGCTTTGTTGTTTCCTTCTGTGTCAATATCTCAAAGTGCCAAGTTATGTTAATCAGATTATATGAAAGAAAAATGAAATCCCACAAAAAGAACTGGCAATGTTTAGCATTTTTGGATAGGAAAAGTATATGAGGACTACAAGTACTGTCCAAACAGTTTCTGCATTTAAGCCATAAAGAAATAGTTATTCTAGGAGGGTTTGGTCTTATTTCTTAATATAGACTTCAAGGTAAAAATAGGAAATAAGAAAGCAATGTAATTTTTTAGCTAAGATGGTTGACTTTTATGCTATTAAACAGAAATATTCACAAACTAAAGTCACAATAGTTTTCAAAACTATTACATCCTCAAACTCTTCCTTATACCACCGTAAACTCTTCTTCTAAATTTAGCTCCACAGATCTCCTTTAAGAAATCCTTATTTTATACCAGAGCCAAAGCCAATAAAAGCAAAGTGGGTTATAATAAAGCAGGGATTTCATTCACATATAAATGTGTACATTCATTGGCTTTGTGGTCACCCTGACAAATAAACTCTTGAACTTCACAGTGCAGTTGCCTGGGAGCAGCATGATGTCTCTGCTGTACACAACAACTTCTGGAGATGCTTTTAGGCATTTCTATATAAAGCTTTAAACATTCTGCTACAGTCATTATACAAGTGAGTCAGCTGAGGCTGAATCATTCTAATATGTGCAATGAATGGAATGGATCTATCTTTTGAGCTTGGGATATTCTTGCAATGTTAATTTTGCACCTATTTTGGAGCTGTTGGTGAGATTTCAATCTTCAGCAATAAGAAGTCAAAATAAACAAGTTTTATAACATCTTTGACTTTTTTTTTTCCCCTCTCCTTGTCAGGAATAGGACTTAAATAAAAAAAAATTGTTCTGTTTGTGTGTGGGTGATTAATATAGTGCCAGCCTGTGGGGGGGTTTTATGTACATTGTGTACATAAGTTTTTTTACCTCTGCGAATCCAGAAACACAGAGCTATTCTGACTTGAGGTGGCTTCTCCTGAACTGTTAATCACATGCCCCCTCCACCTACAGGACTTTGAAGTATTGGAATGGCATCATCTCAATTAACTTTATACTAACAAAGAATTTCTCCAGTGGAGGCATCCCTTATTTCACTATTAGGAGCAAATCCACAATCCTCCTGTGCCTCTTTCCAGTCATAAAAGGGAAAAATAGCATGGATCTATGCACAGCTTTCACAAATAACATTACATAAATCTGATAGAAAGACAACTACTCACACAGTGTATAATTATTCTTTCAGCAGTCCTCCAGATTTGTTTCTTCTCATACATTTTATTCTCATTTTGTCGTACATTCCTCATCACGGTTATTAGGCTTTAAGATACCCTTGACAAATATATAAAGGGCAACACTCTTCACTGGCATCAAATTATGTTTAGATTTTTTGAGTTAGTAGGTAATGTACCAGTAAAAGAATAATTAATTCCTGAAGGACTGAGCACAAAGGCAAGCATACGTGTGTCTGAGAAAGTGAAAAGTTTGACTGAACAGGAAGTTTATGAATTATGATGCTGTCATCCAACTGGATCAGTAGCTTTTTTCATGCTGTTTACTAAATGCCATGCAAATTAAGACAGCAATGGATCACACGGTTCCAGAATTAACTGATGACTTTCGGAGAATTTTTTTCCCCGTTAATTCAGGCTTTCGGTAATGAGGAGGTACAATCACCATAATGCAAAATGCCTTAGATTTACAGATTCTCTTGCCTCCTTATATCCTGTATCATATTCTTGTAAAGACATTTCCTGTGGCTGGATGTGGAGTAACATATTCTCAAAGTGGACTGTGTAAAAGTCCTGCAGAATAGAGGAATGTCTTGTAAAATTTACCTGAGGTGATTCTTAAGTATCAAGTAATAATTTTAGAACAGAATTAGTGAAATCTGTCTATCAAGTTCATTATGTCAGCTATTGGAAATCTAGTTCAAAGATATTACTAAATAGATGCGCTACCCTACGATCTGGGGCAAACTTCTGTTTCTTTAAGGCATGATCCAATAACATAAGACAAAGAGAAATGGTGCTTCCAACAAAAAAAAATAGTTTTGAAGGTTGAGAATGTATGAATAGTTTCTCAGTTTAATGTCCTTATATATTCCTTCATGTCAAAAATCTCACTGGAATAGGATGAAGAAGTGTCAAAGGAAAGTGTGTTTATGTGGGACTTTTTGCTCAGCCAACAACAGATACTATTGAAAATCTGCCCCTTTCCTCTTATGCCATTTGTACCTCTGCTGTGGAGGTGTTCTGACAATCCAGACAAGGTTCAGCCTAGCATTTCAGGATAGGAGAACTCTGCCTTCAAAGCAGTCACTGTAAGTTTGTGAACATCATTTGTTTTATTGGTCCAAGAAAGGAGATGAAGGGACCTAAGGAGAGCATCCTGTCCATTTCGCTCTGCCATGGGAATCAAGCACTTTTAATGAAAGCCAGGATGAAGGAAGTCATAGAACTTAAATAGCTACATCAGAGTCACTGCCTCCCGTGCATTTACAAAGCTTCTCCACTAAATGCCTTTGCCACTAAATAAGGGGATTCGTTTTCCCCATTGAACTCAGAAAATAACTCTTCATCAGAGTCATACTGACTTCTTTTTCAAAGGTAAAACCAAACAAACCAGTGCCTTCAGCTTCTTTTCAGAACACATCTTTAAATTTTCTGTCCTTGTTTTTTGATCTCTATTTGTGGTCATTTCTCAGTGTGACCCCCCTGGTAGAAATAGCGCTCTAGTTGTCATCCATTTTGGGATAAAACACCAATTGTTTCAGCCTTGTCCTCACCATTCATCAATAGGATCACTAAATTTCTTCATTTTTGTCTTTCATCTAGTGTATTTCTAAACACTTTTGTTTTGTTACATTTCTCACAACTTGCTAGTTTCATTTTGCACCTGGTTTTATATTCGGTCTCCTGTTTCTTCCACACTGATCTACTCTATAATTTATGTTTACACCAACCTCTCGTTTTGATGTTTTCATGGTGTTTGATTTCTCAGATTGTTCGATAAACAACTTCATTAGTTTACTACACGTGTCCTGTCTTTTCCTCTGCACTGGGATAGACAGTCATTTTCCTTTCAACACAAGCTTTTCAGGAAATAGACTTCCCACACTCATTTATCCCTTTGCTTATCTGCCCAAGAGATTGTAACTACCAGTTCCTTGAGGCTGAAGTGGTTTCACCTTCTCAGTCATTTTGCTGGGAAAAGCGAGTGCTCGTGTTTTAGCCATTGGTCACCTTCACCCATATTTCCTTCCTGGACTCTCTCTCAAAGCAGCATCTCTTTGTAACTGTGGCATCAAACTCCATGCATTCTCATATGTTTTAAGAGTTGAGGCTTAGAAGAGAGTTCTCCTGTTTCAGATCTTCCTCTTGGTGCTGGGCACACAAATGATAAAAATGAACGGCTCATAGTAAAGGAAAATGAGGCCCTAAACCTCATGTAGGAGGTAAGACAATGCCTTAAAAACATGAATACGCTACATATACAATCACAATGGTGACATGGTTATGATCACAAAACAAACAGAAGAAAACAATTCATTAAGGACAGAAGAAACCAGCACAGCACACCAAGAACTTTATCCTTCCAGTACATGAGCCCTCAGAAAGCTGGCAAATTTCTGGTGCTTGACACAAACCACTCTTTCATAAAGACATGATAATTCCTGTAATTCTGTTTCTTTTCAGGAAATGTTCTTGCAACCACTCAGACCCATGAGCACGGGGCTGCTTTCCATGGTCTGTCCCTTTTTTTCTGGAGGAAAGGGATTACTATAAGTCTTGTTCTCTTTTTCACTGAAACAACAGTATATGTTTTTCATTAAAAACAGTACTAGAGCTTAAAAAATGTAATTTCAGGTTTGATGTCAGTTTATTCATGAAGGCCAAAATATTAAAACACCAACGCCCTATGGAGGAAGAAGTTGGGTGCTCTGATATTATCACAATCTTTACACAATGGACTTGCAAATTAGCTCAGCTTCTTCTTGCAAGTTAGGTCACTACAACTGACTCGTAACAACATTTCCAGAACAAAAAGATTGCATGACTCTGTCTTAACTTTCCTGGTTGGCCTAGTTGTACCTCATCATGTGAACATTGCAGTGTAGTAAATTAATATTATTTCCTCTCCCTTTGTGCAAGGAAAGCTTTCAAGAGACCACGTAGAAAACTTCTGCCATTTCATTTACCGTGAGAGATGTGTAGCTACCCAGAAGATGATAATCTGTGAAACCCTGCACACACATCTTCCCTATTTAACAAGTCATCTGATCAGTTGCTGAATACAAGAGTAAAATTAACCTTTATATTTTGCACATAAAGAAATGAAGCATTACCAGAAACATTTGAAAGCTATAACAGAAAAAAAACCAACAGGATGAGGACGCGGAGGGGAGAGAGAAATTTCAGCTTACTTACTCTAGTTCTGGTGAGATAACAACACCCCTAATTTAGGAATACCTTAAACTGTAAAAGACCAACAAGGGTGATGTAATGCAATGCCTCTGTTACCAAGCAAGATTGCATCAACAGAAATTCCAATGCTGAGGCACCTATCTTGTTTTAAATGGTAGCACCCAAAATAACCACTCTTAAAAGGTCAAGTTTATTTAAAAATAGCTTGCTTGCATTTTACATTAAAGTTAATTTACTAACCTTAAAAAAATTAAATGCAAATCTATACAAATAATTTAAGCATCCTGTCAAAGTTCACATACACACTGCTAGAGCAATGAAAATATTCAAGGTCATATGAAATCTTTCTTAACCGTGTACCATCCTGGGGCTTATTCCATTAAAGATATATAGTATACATTGAACTAAAATGTTTGAACCCTCTCTTTAGCAATATCTACCCTTCTTAGAAATAAAACCTAAAATTTCCTATTCGTAATGTGTTTTCCAGGCCATAACAAAGAAGTATACTGTACCTCTGATGCTGGTGGCTGTTGCCGAGGTGGTTGTGCTGGCTGTTAAGGCTACAGTGGTTGTGACTGTTGCAGTGGTAAGGGAGGGGATGACAGTAGTGGGAAGCAAAGTGTTGAAAACATCTGGTGAGTGGAAAAAAAAATATAAAATAAAATCATATCATGCAAACAAAGGAGAACCATAACAGTGGTTTAATTTGTAAATACAAGAATGTTGAAAATGACTAAATTAAAACATGATTAACATAAATTATTACAGGTACAGCGGAGTACCTTTAAATTCTTGACATTTATCACTCTCGATTTTTTAGTCAATCTTTGAGCACATGGAATTTAAAACTCTGTTAAAATGACCAAGCTTCCACAGATCTAGAGAGTGACGGTTTAAGTGACAAGAATCCATTTCTTCACTGAGCCATTTTAAATGCCTCATATAGTAGAAACCATACACAGATGAAACATGCTGTGTCAGAGTGGGAGATGAAAAAAACACCATCATGCTAAAATAAACACACACATGTTAACGAGAAATGGCTGTATGTTAAAACACCCACTTTCAGACAGACTCAATGGAGGGAAAAAGGGGAGAAAATGCTACTAACTATAAGAGCTGCTTTTTCCGGATTGCTTTTCTTCTTCCCACACATTTGATTAAGACACAGTTGTCTGCTAAGATCCAGAGCAGAGTATATTTCAAAATCTTTACCCTAATTAGCAGGCACATTCATCTTTCAGTCATCCTTAACACAATTTATTGTTAGTACACACATCGGTATTCCTCTAAAGCAGCTTCAAACTAAAAATCAGAAAGTCTAATAGTATTGCCATTAACAAACCCGTGCTTGCAAGTCAGAAAAAATGCATAGTCCTGATGATGAAACCCTTCAGCTTTTGATCAAGTGCAGGTGTGCCAGGCTTGGGGGCACCACTGCTTCACTGTAGAGGAACCAACAATATCTGTTGCAAAATGCTCCAACACAGAGCAGAACATAACCAGATGTACAGAGAGAAAATCCTTTGATTACGCTGCCAAAAGCAATAAAGACCAATAGGACTTTGCTTATAAGGTGATTGCAGGTTTTAAAGAACAAACAAACAAAAGCCCTGAAGAGAACCAAAGAAAAGCACTTCCATGAAGACATAAAAAGCATCTGACATTTTTCAGATTATTTATATCGCGGGTTTAAAAGGAAAGGACTCGTTTCTTGGCAGCTGATGGTGAGTAACCCATTCCATACTGATTTCAGTGAAAATATTTCTGAAGGGTGCTATTCAATGCAATAAAAGAGCCAAAATCTGACCCACAATCTGTCTTCCCTTGCTGTGGAAAGAAATGCAATTGGTCATCAATTCTGACTGAAATCAATGGAAGCTGAAGTAGCTCAGAGCTTTTCAGTATTGGGCCCTACAGAACACACTCCAGACACAGGGTCCTTGTGTTCAGCATTGCATATTTACTCTCTCAAGACCTCAAAGTAACATACTTACCTTATTTTCACACTGGACGACAGATTATCCTGCAACTTTCAAAGTCTCCTTGTTAGTTAACATTTATAAGTCACCTAAAATTTTCTGTATTCCTCTAGTTTTGATAAACACCAGCACTATAGCCTCTGGAATCTACACTTCTGGGATTTTCCACTTCTGAAGCCTTCAGAAAACAGCACAAGATCCCTCTTTCATCTGTTGTACACTGATATTTAATCTATTTCTCAGTACAAAATATTCTCAAGCCAGAAAAATTAGAACAGGCTTTTAGAAACTCCCTCAGTGTAGCCACATTAATCACCAGGAAAAATGATAATATTACCTGGAGTGTGAGTACCACAATAATTAAACAGAACTGAGTATAACAAGCATTAGAAATAAATTAACATGTTAAAGAGACACATGTCACATGTAGTGATCTATGCAATTTCTTCTTATAAAGGGAAACTCCTTCCCTGATAAGTATCTGCTAAAAATGAAATCAAACAGAAAAAAAACCCCCACCTACTTCACAAGAAGAGCAAAGCCTTGTTTACTAAGAAAGCTTTACAAATCATTCCTGTAGGTAAAACCTAATTAGTGTGACTTATGGTTCCATTAATTATCTTTCTTGAACATGCCATTTACTTGAGACTGCAATGACAACTTAGGGTTTTATGGCAGTGCTATCTGTTCTGCAAACACACTGTCTACCTATTTTACCAAATAATAGCTTACATGAGTGACTGGTAAACTCAGAATTTGATTGCTTTCTGGTTTCTCTTCTGGCTGAAGCATTTCCAACAAGATTTCTCATTTTAAATGAAAGGCTATCTAGGAAAAATTCTAGAATATAATATCAGCGTTTTAATACAGATGTGATAAATCTATCTGCTCTCATGAGGTCAAGAATAATGAAAACTTTTGCAGAAATTAGTTTCCTGATCAAAGTCATAAACTCTGATGCCAAATATCAAAATGGCAGCTTTTAAGAAGCCTCAAAGAAAAACATATGTTCTCGAAAGAAACGTAAATATAAGGAATAACATTTGCTTTGTTTCTTCCTTTGCAGAGTAAGGTGAAATTCTCTGTGTAAATGGCTACAGTTGGTCTGCTTTGCTCACAGAATTCCAAAGATTTGCTCTTAAAGACCACAGTACAAGAGAGGAACAAGGAATCAGCAGCCTCAGGAGTGCTACACTGCCCAAGCAATGAAATCTGAGTCTGCTCTGGGCTCTAGAAATGCCTGGTTCATACCCAGGTTCGAGACTCTGCCCGGGGGATTTGCTTCATTAACACCATGAGAGTCCGCAACAGGAATGTGTAAAGTACACAGACAACACATTTTGGAACTCTTGGACCATATCTTACCCTTAAATCTTGTTTTGGACAGCCCAAATCCAGGCACAGCACTCTGAAAAGCACCTGAGCCCCTCTTATGTAAATGGGGCCCCTCAGTCCCATCGAGTCTGACAGAAAGGCTCCGATCAGTCCTTCCAAGAAATATGGATTCTCATGGAAACTTTGTCTTTCCCTGGAAAATGCTTTTGCATGAGAGAAAATGCTTTAGAAAAAATCAGAAGTAATGTACAGTGGTCCTCATTCTCCCCTCTCAGTATTGCAGCTGTAGGAGGTAAGTGGGTTTGGAAGCTCCCAAAATCAGACAAAATACAGGTAAGAAATGATACTTAACAGCACAGGCTTCTGTTTAAGGCATCTGGACCACTGTTTCATAGAGGGTGTGCTGCTTCTTTTTCATGACAGAAGAGGGAATGACAATTTGACCTGTTTCTCATCCTGCAGGACTTTTTTAATATATATATATATATATTTTTTTTTAATGCAGGGCACAGCTATCTTACATCACTAGTGAGGCACACGTTATCCAGAGCTCCCTGCTGGCAGCTGCTCAAAAACATGCTATCAAAGGGACTATGAAGATTTGTCCTCTTGAGCTTTCTGTCAAGAAGGATCTTAACAGAATGGATTTGCAGATTTCTGCCCAAGAAACCCTTGTTAGAGTGAAACTTAATTCAATTTCCTTGTCTCGGAATTTCTGAATCTGGTTGTACACAATGTTCAGCTGAAAGCAAATCTTTGTTTATGCCTCTCATGCCACTAAACACCAAGGATCATTATGACCAAGAGATCTCATAGAGTGGAACTTTTTAATTCAAGTAGCCATACCCAAATCACTGCACAAGATTGCTATTTCAATAATACTAAGGTATTAATCCCTAGCTTCCTGTGAAGCAGAAAATAGCTATATTTTGCAGATGGGGAACCAAAGAAGATAGAAAAGCCATGCTCAGAGATCTAGTAATTGTCACCATTAATTTTGAAATCTCACTTCTAAACTGGATGTCTGTTGACAGACAGATATTCAGCCAGAAATCCAATAATGTATTTAAGTTGGTATTAATTTCAAAACCTTGCTAGCTCTGAAATACAAACAATTCATGGAGAACTAATTGTTTCCATAAAAGTTGTTGGAAATAGAAAAGGGGCTGACCTTCACTCCAAGGGGAGTTACTGACTGCAGTCCCAACTCTTATTCACTTATGTTCCCACATGTTATACAGGTAAGACCTGAACTGGATTTTTGACAAAAAATATGGGCTCCTGGCCATGTTTTTTGGAGGTTTGATCCCAAGTGGATAGAGGAAAAAGGAGGAGCACGCAACGCCTGGCCTGGTCTGGGGGCTGCTCCTTAGCGGAGCTGCTCATGAGTGGCAGAATAATGTTGTACAAGATCAGCTTGAAACAGTGTCAAGCCGTGCCTGATCAAAATTTCCTGTTTGCCTCTCCTCTCTTGAATTGATGCCACTTTCCTCTTACTAAGGCAGAAGACATTCATCCATTTAAGTGTAGGGAGCCTGGACAATTTACTCTCACTGCCGATTTGGCCTTAAGCATTTTTACTCCCCATCTCCAAAGAAATGAGAAATGGTTCTGTTTGGTTTAGCAGGCTTATGTGAAAGATAGATCTGACCTATTGAAAATATTTGACTTTTTTTGGTAAAAACACAACTGATATTTTGACATGACTGAGCACAAATCAGACAACAATAGCTGAAGTTGATAAAAATGTAAAGGCTTTTGTTTCAAGCCTGACAAAGGCTGACAGAAAAATTAAAGGACAGAGTGATAATGATGGATGGCCCTTGCTGTATTTTGACTGAGAATGAAAGAAATTTTAAGTGGTAAACTGAACTGAGTGATGACCTACCTGGGAAACAATCTCAGTGCTCCGTGCAAAATTTAATCAGTCTGTGGTATGTAGCATTAAATAATTTAGCAAGGTTTTAAATTCAAAGGGAGCTGCACTTACCCTCGTTCTAAGAAAACGGGATTGAACAAAAGGATCATTCAGCCTGAATATCATGTGCCAATAGCTCCTTAGCACTTAGACTGAATGATCGTGAACGCTCATGGACATGAGGTCAAGGGGTTCTTTTTGCTAATTGATTCAGATTTATGAAACTCTGAAATGGCAATTATGTGCTTGACATTTTTGCTAGCAAATCAGATGTCATTAAAAATATCCAAATCCTTTTAACAAAAGCTCCATGTAGATCTATATCACTAGTTATAGCATGAGAGACTGCTGGAGAATGAGTTCATGTTGCAAGACATACAGCTGGGCTAAAATGGCC